AATACAACCCAAACTATTGCTACCCAATCCGACACTCCCCCAAACACCCACCCCATGACCACCCGTGCCAAATCCGGAATAACACGTCCCAAACAAATCCTTAATGTTAACATCACCAGCCATATTTCTCCTCTCCCTCCTACCTACCGTAGTGCACTAAAAGATCCAAACTGGTATGATGCAATGTGTGATAAATTTAATGCTTTGATTCGCAATAATACATGGGATCTAGTACCCCCCTCCCCCACCCAAAATGTTATCTTAGGGAAGTGGCTATTCCGTCACAAATTTGGCCCTACAGGGGATTTGTCCAGGTATAAAGCTCGTTGGGTAGTCCGCGGGTTTAATCAGCGTTATGGCATTGACTATAGCGAAACGTTCAGTCCGGTCATTAAGCCTGCCACCATTCGCATTGTCCTCAGTCTTGCCCTGTCTCGGGGTTGGCCCGTTCATCAGCTGGACGTCAAAAATGCTTTTCTTCATGGACATCTTCAGGAGACAGTTTATGCCAGCCAGCCATCCGGTTTTGAGGATCCATCCCGGCCCCACTATGTCTGCAAACTTAAGAAAGCACTCTATGGCTTAAAGCAGGCTCCTCGATCTTGGTACCAGCGGTTTGCCGGCTTCCTTCAGCACATCGGGTTTCAAGGGTGCAAGACGGACACTTCTCTGTTTGTTTACTCTCATGGAACGCACATGGCCTATCTACTTCTCTATGTTGATGACATTGTCCTCACCGCCTCATCCTCCACCCTTCTCACATGGATCACGGACTGTCTGAAGACCGAGTTTGCTATGACCGACATGGGCGAGTTACACCTCTTTCTCGGGATCAATGTTCAGCGCACCAAGGAAGGCCTCTTCTTACATCAGACTCAGTTCGCTCATGATATTCTGGACAAAGCAGGCATGCTTCACTGTAAGCCCATCTCCACTCCTGTTGACTCAAAAGGGAAAATGTCTAGCACCTCAGGCGAACCTGTTGCGGATCCGTCCCTCTATTGCTCCCTTGTAGGAGCCCTCCAGTATCTCACATTCACCAGGCCGGATCTCACTTATGCAGTTCAACAGCTCTGTCTCTACCTCCACTCGCCACAGACCACTCACCTCACTGCCTTAAAACGGGTTCTGCGCTATCTTCACGGTACCACCACTCATGGGATCACCCTCACTCGTTCCTCGCCAGACTTCCTTCGGGCCTATTCCGATGCTCGCTGGGTCGGGTGTCCAGACACACGTCGTTCCACCTCTAGCTACTGTGTTTTCCTAGGTGACAACCTGGTCTCATGGTCCTCCAAAAGGCAACAAACCACCTCCCGATCAAGTGCTGAGGCCGAATACAGGGCGGTCGCAAATGCCGTAGCAAAAACCAGTTGGATACGTAATCTACTCCTTGAGCTTCATCAACCACTGCGCCGAACCACCATCATCTTTTGTGATAATGTCAGTGCCGTCTATCTATCCTCCAACCCTGTCCAGCACCAACGCACCAAGCATGTGGAAGTTGATATTCACTTTGTTCGAGACAAGGTCAGTTTAGGACATGTTCGTGTTCTTCATGTACCATCCTCCTTGCAGTACGCTGACATCTTTACGAAAGGATTACCATCACTTCTCTTCATCGACTTCAGACAGAATCTTGGAGTCCGCAGTTCACCAACGGAGCTGGTAGCATGTTAAATATGTAAAGTATATATCACATATTTAATATTATTGTTATATTTGGTAAATTCCTTAATTGTATAGGATTTGTATTTAATATTTTTTCCTTTCCTATATACCTCCTACATATATATAAGGGGAGGTGATTTACTTGTAATCATTATCGAATAATACAATTCTTCATATATATATATATATATATATATATATATATATATATATATATATATATATATATATCGAAAAATACATATGTATTTTTAAATTATATTTTGACAAAACAAATTCTATTATATACACACACACACACATAATATTATTTTTATTTTCATCATTTTAATTATATGATAATTGTTAATGTCAAAATAAAATATAATGTATTGTTTTTGAGGGGATTGCCAATTTTTTCAAGAAAAATATCCAAGACATATTTTGATATTCCACCTAATAATATATTTGATTGATATAATCAAATATTTGATTAGTAAAGAATATTTGTCTTGTTGTGTTGGTTGGGGACATTACATTAATCTTATTTTGTTTTGTTCCTATGTAATTTCCTAAAAATTCCTTTAAGTATTGTATTATAAAATGTGAGTATCCCTCCCCATTTTTCTACACCTTAATTTCGGCCACCTCAAAGAGAAACAGAGAAAAATATTATTTTGTGTTCAAAGTCATTTTTCAAGTGTTAGAAATATACACAAAATATTATAAGGAAATATTTATAAGATAAATATTTTAATATATATATTTATTAATTCCCAAAGTAGTAATATTATAGGTTTACTATCCTATATTAAACTTGCTAGCACAAGTTTAATCTAGGACTCCGGAGCAAGTTCATGTGGATACGTTGGAGGCTTCATACGTTTGGCGCTACGTTCATCTCCTCAAAACCAGGCCATTCCTTGACCATTTCTCTGTTCTCCGTTTTCACCGTTAAGGTAATTTTCTTACTATAGCTAGTAATTTACATAAGTTGTTCTTGGGTGAAATCGAATTTTGGACTCTAAATATTTTGTTTTTCGCTGTGTTATCCAAGCTTCGTTTCCCAACATGTTGTTGTACAATGGGAAGCAAGGGTGTTAACATTCAACCCTAGACTGCTATTTATTACTACAAGATTGTATGATGATGATGATGATATGATGATGATGATGATGATGAGTATATCTTGAATGATTATTACTATGAATAATGAAATAAATATGATAAACCAATGGTAAGACTATTTAGAAGAACTATAAGATTGACTTCACGTAATTGATATATATATATATATATATATATATATATATCATTCATCTCCCGTAGTTTACATGATTGACATGAAATCTCTAACCATGATTTTCTTTTATTTATCGCATCTCACTTATAACTTAGTTCACTTTGGATTTGCTTCCCTTCTCTCGTCATTTCTATCATCCCCTCATTTTGGCCTTGATTCTCATTTACAATATGATCGATATTAGTGTTTAGTTACACGTGGCACTCAATTCCTAACCAATCAAGCTATCCCTTTACTTCACCACTTTTATCTTTTACACATCCCATTTCACTTTTTGAGTGAGGGTTTTCTGTTAGACACGATTTTATTATGTGGCCTGAGTTATCATTTATCTAATTAATTGATCATTGACCTAATAAATATCCTACGTATTTATTTGGTAATTATTCGATGGACGTAA